AAAAAGAAACGATGGCAACTCCAGCCACTAAAACTCTACAAGTTTGTAAAGAATAAAATGAATAACAAGACTCACACCGCAGTGCTAGTGAGTCAGGGGGTCGAGGATGAAGCGATTATGGCTGAGACACACCGCGAGAAAGTGTAGAACTTGTCAAGGTTCTTCACAAGAGTATTCACAGCAGAACCAATACTTGCATCAGCTACAATCTGTATAGCCTGGTAGGTCTCATGATATTACTTGCCTTGGTGAGGAGGTCAGTTGTTAATGTCCTCAAAAGACCCAGAGTCTCTCCCAGTGAAGGTGAACTGGGGTGGCTATTGTATGGAATAATCAATTAGCCTTTTCTTTGGAGTTAAAGTTCCAAGCTGTGCAAGGATTGTTGGCTACGGTCTCCAGTGTCCAGAGCGGGTTCTGCTAGGCGTCTGTGCGACCTACCCACCTCACGACACAGATGCCCAGTAATTTCTCCGTCATGGATCCTGGGCAGAGCTCTCGCACTCTATTATCTCAAAGGAGCTTCTGGTGCTTTGGTGAATTGGAAAACTTTTTAAATTCTCCAAAAGTGTCCAGTGTGTTTTCAGTATCTTGCTGACTGCAGGTAATCACCACACCACACAGAGTTGCAGTGGAAATATTTGGCAATGGGATGATCTGCCTTGATCCTTACAGCAACACTTGTAAGGTCCCACAATATCCCCTGCCTCATCATATTCTTGGCCAATATACTACCTGTTGTGGTCAAGTTTAAGGTCACAAACTGCTGTTTTCATTTTGTTTGTAATGGCCTCTCCGAAAACTGACTACAATTCCCCACAAACTCCGCCATGTGAGCGATATGAGTGTAGCCGGGGCTGCCTAGTATGTAGGCCCGCTGAAGTTTCCTCCATTTTTATGTTCTATATATTTTTCTCTTAGCGCGGCTCCTAACAGGATGAAGTCATAGATTCAGGCTGTGCAGACTAACAGTGCCCAGCAGCCCGGTCGTGCCCGGACTAAGAAGGGCCAGGCAAGGGAGTGGTAGTTAGGGTAGGTGATCACAGGTGCCACCTCCACCCCTGCCCCACACACCATGCAGGTGTCAAGAGTTATGACATCACATGTTAAGGGTTACCGACATTAACACTTTTTAGACAGACAGAAGTGAACTGTGAGCTGATACACACAATAAACTTGACCGCCTTGGGTGTTTGTTTAACTTTTCCCATAAAAAAATCCGGGAAAGGAAATTTCACCCAAACATTTATCAGGGCAAGTAAAAAATTATCCGGCCAAGTAAATTTCAAGGGTCACTTTCTTCGGACAAGTAATTGTTCCATTTAATCTGCACAGCCTGCATAAACCCAGTTAGGGAACCCTTGAAGCATAAATTACACCTTAATAATTTAACTCACCTCTTGGAGAAAAGGCAATTCACGGTGGAGTTATTTCTTCCAGACATAACTGTGGCTTCTTCCCTCTTCAGTGTCCAATGAACAACATGAAAAATAACAGAGAAGACACACTGTAGGTGCAGCGACGCCATTGACTGGTGGTCAATTGAGGTCTATTGCAGTATGTAGCCACTAGCCAGATAATTTTTGGGTGAAACTAGCTACTGTGGAGTGGCGGAGTGTGTGTGGACAGATGTCAGGTCAAGAAGCAGCGTGGTCACTCATCCCGGCCAGCAGGTGACCGTGGCTTACGTGGCCACCTCAGGCGCAGGACCCGAGGTGGTCGTCCTGGTCTGCTCTAACCTAAAGACGGCCCAGTTGCCTGCTTGTTCCAACAAAACTAAAATTAAAATCTTTATACTCTCCAAGTTCTGACCGATGAAAGAACATGGGTGTCGTAAGTAGTTTTATGAAAAACTATTTCAAGGCCATTTTTAATGGAAGGTAAATGTTTCCCATGGAGTTCTGGAATTACTGTGCTAGAGAAGTTAGATGTATCATTACAAATAGTTAGAGATAGCTATAAAAAAATCCTGTTCCATATTATCTAACTGAGACAGTTTTCACATTTCCATCCAAACGCTTGGCTATAATACTCTTTCCCTCAAATCTATGATTCTCAAAAAGACTGAAATAACCTTAAGGTCTGCTCCAGGCACCAGCCCCATGACATAACGGAAGGCTGGCCACAACTTCTCGCGAGCAACAACAACCAATCATTCACTACACAGGTTCTAAATATATCTGCAGTAAAGAAAAAATGGTGACGCTTTCTATTGTAGTTACTATGAAGTATATCAACGTTGTAATAATCTAACAGGTGAGGGAGTTAAAGGTTACATATGACGAAGAAGAGTTAAGTGTTGGCAAGCGTGACTCAGCTCAAGGCTGCCAACTTGTGACAAGTAGACCTTCAGGTTAGAGTCTAGTCTGGACCAGCGTTCACTGCCTCCTGACTTTACTTTCTTGATTGAGCAAAATCATCTTCTTCAACCTCTCTCTCTCTCTCTCTCTCTCTCTCTCTCTCATAATATATACCCAATATAATGCAGCTGTATTTAAACATGTTAGTGAGCTGGGTCATGCCATTAACAAGAATGATCCATCTGTAATGTACAAATCTAACTGTAGCTTTAGATGAAAAGTTACAGTCTTGTTTATTTGAAAATATTCCAAATTTCAGCATCTCTAGAGGACGATGGTCCCCTGACTTGATCGCCTCGGTGGCTGTTCATGAGACCTTACCTGAGAGCTTAACACCTGGTCACCTCACTCAACGTTCCCATAAAACCTTCCTCTGTGACTGTGGCATTATGGCACCAGCATATCCAGTATTATGGCACCACAATATCCAGTATTATGGCACCAACTTATCTAGCATTATTCACTGTAATTATGTAATACGGTAGCCTTAAATCTTTTCCCCATTATTAGTTTGAATACTACTATTACAACTGTTATGAGAATTGTCATATTTTAATAACCATTCCTACACACGAACAATATTTAAAGGCAATTTCTAACATAACTTGAAACAACAGAAAAGTATAGCAAGAGTTAACACGATACTATTATTAGAGTCAGTGTGTGTAGTGGAGAGGGACTTCAGTAACATATCTCAAGACTCAAAAAATGTACACTCGTGTTGAGAAGCCATGCATCTTCCCAACCCAGATTATTATTATTATTATTATTATTATTATTATTATTATTATTATTATTATTATTATTATTATTATTACTATTATTATTATTATTATCAAACAATTCGCATGGCACAAGGGAATTTTGGTTCGATAGCTCCATTATTTATATCTCCTGTACATATCGAGGCTCACAAATTAGTATCTTGCCACTTATGAAACTCTTCCAGTGAGATATTTCAATGACAGGACAAATTCAGTAATGCTGTTGGCTTTTTTAGTTAACGACGTCATCAACAGGAAAATATGTGGTGCAGTTATACCACCACACATACCAACATTCACTGAGTTATACCACCACACATACCAACATTCACTGAGTTATACCTCCACACATACCAACATTCACTGAGTTATACCACCACACATACCAACATTCACTGAGTTATACCTCCACACATACCAACATTCACTGAGTTATACCACCACACATACTAACATTCACTGAGTTATACCACCACACATACCAACATTCACTGAGTTATACCACCACACATACTAACATTCACTGAGTTATACCACCACACATAACAACATTCACTGAGTTATACCTCCACACATACCAACATTCACTGAGTTATACCACCACACATACCAACATTCACTGAGTTATACCTCCACACATACTAACATTCACTGAGTTATACCTCCACACATACCAACATTCTGTTCTTACGTAATTTAGACCTCAATAGTCTTGCCAAGACTCCATATAAGACTAAAATTTTACCTATACCTTACGGATGGTTGCTGTACCGTACGGATGGTTGCTGTACCGTACGGACGGTTGCTGTACCGTATGGATGGTTGCTGTACCGTATGGATGGTTGCTGTACCGTACGGACGGTTGCTGTACCGTATGGATGGTTGCAGTGTAAAAAAAGAGGTAAATGCCGGTCAAACAACTTACACTGACGGGTAACTAACTCATCTTCACCTGTAATATTATCCTGAACAAAAACACTGGATAATCCTGGTTGAGTGGTCAATTCACACATCAAACAGTCCTGGCTCACTGTGTATTTTATATAATCCACACTATAGCCAATTAATTATTTTATTTTACAAGGAAACTAAATCAAGTATATAATAGAACATAATCGTATGAGTAATCGTCATTGTTTTTCGAATGTCTTAACTTTTTTAAATAAATAAAAGGTACTATATGAAGACATCCTTGGGTGGGAATGCCCGCTGGATGCCGTGACGTCATCATCCAGGATATATAACGTCATGACCGACGGTACTAGCCCTGGTTTATGGAGGGGAACCCGCAATAGGCATCACCTTCCCCTGTGCTGTGCCTTTCACTTTAAACAGATGAACACTAATGAACTTCCGTTTCACTGTGTTTCGGAGTAATCATAATTCCATGAAGGTAAGCTGCTATCAGGAAACAGGATATGTAATGTCAAAGAAAGCGAAAACACATTTTTACCTCATTGTACAGTATGTCAATGATGGTCGTACTTCCTACAATGTTTCGAGTAAGTTGTTCGCCTGTGGGGACGTTTCTCTTTTTCCTACCTGCTGTGTATAAGGATCTCTCTCATTGGAGCTCGCAGCAGTAACAAGCATTCTGATTGGACGTCTAGAGGGTGAAGATTCCAGATCTTGTCAGAAACCACCAATGAAAATATCTCTTTGTAATATTCTTTTTCATATTTTCACTGGCAGATATTAACTAATTAATCTTTAACATAGATTTAATATGAAACACTGATTAATAATACATGAAACTAAGTTAAATACATTGTAAACCAAAATCAATTTCTTGGTTATTGTTAAGATCTAATATATCAAGGCTCTGTGAGTGGGCAAGAGAAGAGGCGGATCTGGACTATGAAGAACCTTGAGGCCTGAGAGTTCCTAGTAGAGGAGGTCCGTCCTGTCGTCAACACGCTTTTTGGCCTGACTCTAATGTGATTGTATGTGTGTAACCCAAGTAGCCAATTAGGCGAGTTAGTGAATATGCGAAGTGGCAAACTAATACACTCAGGCACAATAATGTGTCGTTCGTAGGGCACGTGGAAGAAAGTGGCCCAGTGACACAGCTATTGTAAGGCAGGTGGAATCACGGAAGTGTGTGTGTGTGGTGTGGCTGCTTGGCCTAACGTTACCACACCAAGTTTACTACTACCTCACTACACACCTCCCAGTAATATATGTACGAGTGCAGTAATTCATAGGCAAAAACAAAACAGAAAACCATGTAAGTGTAGCCAATAGTCCTCCAGCCGTGCTATGGCGAGTTACAGCTGTGTGGAGTAAGTCAACCACCACCATGCAGCTCGGTCATATATGTGGGATTACGTTATATCTGCTACTCGTCGCTAACGGTGAGTCTATACCATCATCACGGTATTACAAACTATACACAATAGCCACAAGTAAATTACATTGCTCTTCCTTCACTCATACCAAATCATACGTTCCTATCCAAGATAACTATAATAAAAGAAGACTAACCATTCACCCAAAATATATTCCTTACACACTAAATTACGTTGTGTTGATATGATTATACACATCTCGGGGTCACAGATAATATAATATTATCGATTTATCTCATTATTTTAACAAGACTTGACCTGAATCACTGCTTAATAACAGTACAGACTCTACACCCCCCCCTCATCCTCCCCTGATATGGACCACCCTCCCCTTCCCCATATGTGGGTCATCCTCCCCCTTCCCTGACGTATAGACCCCCTCCCCTATAGACCCCCCCCCCTCACGTATAGACCCCCAAGCCTATCCTTCTAATTACCCCCACCCACCCCCACACACGTAAAGGCCATACTCTTCCCTCCCCCCACACATGGATCATACTCTCCCTCCCCCACACATGGATCATACTCTTCCCTCCCCACACATGGCTCATACTCTTCCCTCCCCCACGCATGGATCATACTCTCCTCCCCCACACACATGGATCATACTCTTCCTCCCCACACATGGACCAACCCCTGCCTCCCCACATGGACCAGCCCCTCCTTCCCCACACATGGACCAGGCCCTTCCCTCCCTCACAAGGACCAGTCCCTCCCTCCCTCACACGTGGACTAACCCCTGCTCTCCCCCACAAGGACCAGCCCCTGCCCCCCCACACAAGGACCAGCCCCTGCCTCCCTGCACACAAGGACAAGCCCCTGCCTCCCCACACAAGGACCAGCCCCTGCCTCCCCCCACACATGGACCAGCCCCCTTCCTCACCCACACACACATGGACCAGCCCCTTCCTCACCCCCACACATGGACCAGCCCCCCTTCCTCACCCCCCACACGGACCAGCCCCTCCTCACCCCCACACATGGACCAGGCCCCTCCCTCACCCCCACATATGGACCAGTCCCCTTCCTCCTCCACACAGCTCCAGGTATCTTGAGTCTTGGCATAACTTACCGACTTGTGCTTCTGATCGATATTTATGGCATTCAGACTTTTTTGGTATTTGGCTAAAACTTGTTTCTTATTTTTTCGTGAATTTTCTTTTGTGAGAAATGAACTAAACCGGGATTGGATATTAAGAAAAGGTGTGATGATAAATGGTGTATGTGATGACTGCCAGCGAGTTACTCATATGAATATGTTAAACAGGTGAGAGTTATATTCCCATCATACTGTAGTTATTCCTCCTGATCGTCCGTCCTTCTACTTGTGTTTTGCCTACACCTCTCTCCCTCTAGTGTGCTGCTGACCCTGGTAAAGTACTTCCTTCTACACACACACATTTTTTGTGGTGCAGACATGCATAGCGATATGTTATATAAGTCTTGTTGGATGACTTGTGCATGTTTTGCCGCACTTGTAGTTTTTCAGCGATAAAATTAATCTCCCAATGTAATCCTCGGCTTCCTGACTTTCTTATTGTTTGCCACGAAGATAGAATAGCTAAAATGACGTCGATGTTAAAGTAAAAGAGTTTATCATAATTGTATTCCTTTGGTCATGCTCAGATGGTACACCGTAGTTGAAATACTTCCTGTACGAGAACTGGAGTCACGACCCAAGTTCCAAGGTCACTTAGGTTCATGTTTGAATTGTTTATTTTAACTGAGGAGACAAAACACATCTAACAGCGCCAAACTCAGTGTACAACTTTGCCGCCTGGAAATTTACGACTGTATAAACTTATCCGGTGACTTAAAGTTGCCGAAACAAACGTTCAAAATGGCATCACAGTTAGTTTCCCTGAGACGCTACCTTTACTACATGTGTTTTATTAAAATTTTTATCTGGTAGAGAATAATATTAATAGAATTTTAAGAATCCTGACCCTGACTGTATAGTGTACGACAAGAGTATCAGAAGACAGTGGCTGAGGCTGCTGGGGGAGACTTCAAAGCGAGAGAAGCAAGTGATCTCGCCTCGGCGCTCAACACAAACAGCTACTCTACACCTGGTGATGGGAAAACATTTCTTAGCTACGGTTGTCATTACAAATCTACAACCATTTTGATTTTATGAACAATTCAGGTGTTTTCGCGTCTCCAGCTGGGGTTATGGTGATGGAGACTGATGGAGGGGGTGAAGGTGTTTCCCTAGTAAATACCTAAGGATCAAGGTATAGGGTCAAGTCGTGGTGAAGTAATGAGGGAAGAGTCACAGGGCTCAGGTCATGGTAATGGTGCGCGCCATGGCAGAAAGGGTAGCTATACTATTGAGGTGATATGATGATATCAGTGTTAGTTAAGATCTTGCCAGTGTCAAAAGAAGTGTGTGTGTGTGCGCTCCCCCCCCCCTCTCCTCCTACACAAACACACACACATCTCTTTTGACACTGACAAGATCTTAACACTGACATCATATCACATTAATGGCATAAATACCATGATCTAAGGTGTTTCAACACCAAGAAAACACCCACTTCTCTCCCGGGAGGCAGCAGAGAGAGAAACGTTTAACGAGGTTAAAGCCATGGCTGCCACCATCACGCCAAACACATTGTCATAATGTTTTCGGACATAAGTCTGGTTGCTAGCGTATCCGGCTTGGAAAATGCCCACCTGTGGGCACGTCCAGTCCATTATATGTCTTATATGAATACCTTATATTACACAACACATTCCCTTGACAAAAAAAGGGCCGCGATGTGTAGTTCCGTGATCTGTGACCTGTGAAGGGAATTCTATTTGTTACTTCCTTGAGGTGTTGACAACTGTTCATCTGAAGCGCTTAAAGGCGGAAAGATAAACTGAGTTATTGCGGCATGTACCCTCTTATGTTTTCTGATGTTAGATTTTTCGTATAAAAATAATTTCCATATCTTGAGCCCATTAACGGTCAGCACGAGTCGCTACCAGAGTGTGGGGGTGAGGGAGCTTGTGTTCCCGTTTGAGGGAAAATGTTTTCACCTGAATTTATACCTGAAGCAAAAATGAACACGAAAAATACCAGGAAATGTTCGTTTTTCCTCCGACTGTATTAAAAACAGACAAGTGTTAGCATTTGTTTGTTTTGCTCGAGGACGAAGAATGCTGAGTCACACCATGTGAGCTTGGAAGGCACACCGCTCTTATCTCTCCTCCCTCACACCCTACCACACGATCCTTCCCTCCCTCACATCCTACCACACGATCCTTCCCTCCCTCACACCCTACCACACGATCCTTTCCTCCCTCACATCCTACCACACGATCCTTTCCTCCCTCACATCCTACCACACGATCCTTTCCTCCCTCACATCCTACCACACGATCCTTCCCTCCCTCACACCCTACCACACGATCCTTTCCTCCCTCACACCCTACCACACGATCCTTTCCTCCCTCACATCCTACCACACGATCCTTTCCTCCCTCACATCCTACCACACGATCCTTCCCTCCCTCACACCCTACCACACGATCCTTTCCTCCCTCACACCCTACCAACTCAACCTCACTTTCTCCATCCCTCCTCAAACCTGTTTTACCTCCCTAATAGGAAAGAAGTACACATAAAAAAGGCTAATAAGACACATACACACAATAGTACACACACACACACACACACACAAAGAACCGTGCGTAACTGGTACAGAAATTTCCCAGTGTCTCGCCTCTGAAGAACTTTCTCCAGCAGCTTACAATACCGTTACTGCCGCGTCTGTTTGAACGTGTGTCTGTGTGTCAAAAATAGCAATATCGTGTTAGTTGTGACATAGACTAACTCAAAATGACCACCAACATCCTATAACATTAATAACTTTCGTTCCACCAATGTTTCGTTTGATAATTGTACTGTCTAATTATATAATATTAAAGTCAGTAGACATAATAGTGACAGAAACATTCTTGTCACTCAGATGTACAGTACAAATTGTATGTTTTAATGCTAATAACTGTTGAAGAGCTCAGAACTCAGAAACCCTTAGGATGAATCTTGATATGGTATAGAAAATTTAGTTTCTTAAGAGCACCTTTATAATATTTATACTGTATATACTTGTCACACTTGCCAGATGCTTCTGGTGTTATTGTACAGGGGTACCTAGTGACAGCACTAGGATCCCGCTTCCTCTATCAAGGAATAAATATTGAAATTGAATTGAGTTTCTTAAAAAACAAAAGGGATTGGTCAACGTATTGATGCAGAATTAATGAAACCCCCGAGAGTGACTTCCATAACCCATTTCTCTCAAGAATATTTAGAAAAACGAAAGAGGTGTATTCCAGTTCAGGTGACTTAAAGAAACGGGGAAGAAGACCAGCTGAATACTAAGAAATCTTTGAAATAGAAAAATTACAGCTATGGGATAAAGCAGGTGCACCACATACCCATAGTGGAGTTTACATAAAGGTGTTGCCACTTCACAGCTGTCACATTTTTTCCTTTGATGTCAGGTTAACGTTGGAGTGAGGAGAAGGGGGTCACGTGGTTGTTAGGTCAAGATGGTGTCACCCACAGCTCCCTGGTGCTGCTGAAGGTGCAGGTAGTGTACAGTGGCTGGAAAAGACAGACAGGCAAGATCTACATGTAGTCTGTAGTCATTACAACTTATAACTGGGTTTACTACATCTTAAAGGGCACAGGTCATTTAGAGAACATATTCCCCGCTGTGACAGTAATGAACCACTAAACGCCACAACTACAAAAACCCGTGAGGCCGCCAGCATCTTTACACGTCCACCAATCGTCCCATCACACCATTGATGTCATGTTTCGTGAAATTCAGTTGAATACTGCTCAACGAGATGTTTTTATAATTTGTGATTTTGCTGATAAACTTTTTTGGTAACAGAAACAACCCGTCAAACGGACATTCACACATACCGATCACTATCTCCTCGCCCAGGGTCAGCCATAAACAACGACGATAATCGTAGCTCTCCTGAAACAAATTAATGTGTATTAACTCGTCGTTTACAAAACTCGTTTTCTTTCCCGTTATAATGAAAGAAAATACTAGGGGTAACGGTCGTCACTTCCGCGCGACATTTAATACATTCTTCAGACGCCCACTCCTTCCCGCCATTGTTGCCGTTACCTCCTCCATTACTGCGAGACAATAAATAGTTCGGCATCATTAACATATTTATATCCTCCGTGACTCAGAAAACAAGTTACATCCTCTTCACCCTCGGCATCTCGTAGTGTACAGTCGATAACTGGCCCAGTAATTTATGTCTCATCTGTGTTTCTTAGTAAAACCTAAAAAAAATAAATATATTTATTGATTTCACATTTATATTTCAATCATTTGCCATTTGTTTCCTTTTCAGCGATTATACAGGTATTTGAGTATGTTCAAACTTCACATAAGTAGAAATCTAAATTTCTAGGAACTTTTATTACATCTCAGCTACTCAACGTGAGGTTGTTTACACCATAGGTAATTGGCAGCTACCAAACAGGGAGGTCCTACCGCCTGGGAAGATATTGGTAGCATAATGTGTTGTCTAATGGTGGACCCTGCTGCCATATGTGACCAAGTCCCAGGTTGCTGATCTGACTTCCGCTTCATTTACACACAATTGCAGGGTCTCAATTGTTTCTCTTACTTGACAACACAACATACATACAGCATTTTTCATTATTGATTTTTTTTTCATTTTTGTATTTCTTTATCGTTCTTTATTATTATTATTATTATTATTATTATTATTATTATTAAAGTGTTATTATTATTATCATTTTTATTTTATTTTACTTTTTATTATAAATTCTATTTACGATGAAAAATTATTAAATTTTCGCCTCCCAGGCCCCGATGTGGGTCAGTGACCTGTGCCCGGGTGGGCTAATCCCCGTGAAAAAAAAAATTTACTAATGGACATGGACTGCAGAGGTGAGACGTCAGTTGTAATGGTCATCCATTACTCTTAAATTCCACCAGCATCTCATTTACTTCTCCCTCTACTTTTCCATCTCTCCTCCTGAGTCTCTTTCCCCCTTTTACTGTATTTCTTTACATTCAGATTATTTTTCCATTTTCCATTTTTCCTTCTCACTTTTTTTTTCTCCCCGTTTCCTTCATTACATTTTTGGTGCTACTATAGAGTGATGTCTACAAGGTATTTGTGTTGTGTTAGGTCAGGTCAGGTCAGGTCAGAAAAGGTTAAGTTAGCCTAAAGATATCTTTGTAGACCGCACGCTATAGCAGCACCACATTTTCCTCGTTTTTCATCTTTTCCCTTCTATATTTTTCTCATTGCTCATATTTTCCCAGGATGGGATACAGTCTGTCCCTCTCCTCTACCGGTGATGAATTGACTGTGTTTAATCATTTGTGTTTTCTAACATAAAGCCTTACCTACCGCAGATGTGTCGGGCAATAACTCGCCACCAGTCCTGTCGTCGACCAAAGACTGGCGTGTGGAGGAGGACGAGGAAGTGGGCACCGTAGTGGACCGCCTCATAGCTTCTGACGTAGAGAATGATCCAGTCGTCTTCACACTTGAGTCTCTGCTATCAGACAATATTCATCAGTATTTCCGGATTGATAATTCGAACAAAGTTATAATTGCAAAGCCTCTTACTGGTTTGGTGAGTTATACTGTAACTACATGTACAAGGTGTCAATAATGCTGTGTAACCTCATTGTAACCCAGGATTGATCACTAGTTCAGGCCGCAATCGATTCACAAAATATCACAAAAAATAAGCACAAAATCATTCTTTCATGAGAATGACAGTATATAAACAAATTCATTGGATGTATAAGCTATGTAATATTATTAAAGGCACATTTACCGTAATTATATATATTATACCATATAATAAACTTAAATTGTTCGATCCTAAATTTCACTGTGTTAACTAGACAATTTGGACACCCTGTACGTATATGTCAGTATTGTTATTGTTGTTATAATGCCATTAAGCGTGTGCAACAAGATTGGTAATTCCACTATTACAATTTCAGTGAACCCTCACTTTACACGGTCAATTGAACCCACGGCGGCCCGCGTAAAGTGAACAACATAACATATGGGATTAATTGAAATAGAGACCGGGCCGACCCCCAAACTCCACTTTTTCAGACACAATACCTACGTTGTAGTAAAAATAACTTCTTAATTTTATGATGGTATGCACACACAATTAATAATTAAGAGAAATATTAATAATACAGTGTATATATATATATATATATATATATATATATATATATATATATATATATATATATATATATATATATATATATATATATATATATATATATATATATATATATATATATATATATATAATTTTTTTTTTTTAATACCAGATAAAACTCTCTACACTGTTGGGAGTAAAGTGTCAATGTGTTTGTATCATTTGAATTCATATTTTTGTTCAAGCTGGAATGCAACGCTCAGTATTTACTAATACAGTACTGTATTGTAGCCTCCTGTTGTCAATGAAGTTGTTTTTAGAATTCCATTGTACTGTACATTGTAGTCTATAGTTCATAAAAAATTTAATGTACTGTACAGTACTTTGTATGCACAGTATATTGATGATTCAATTGTACCTGTAACTCATTTACAGCAAATCATGCTAATTATACCCAGCCTAACCTAACCTAATCCAGCTTAACCTAACATGGCCTAATTTAAGCTAAGCTAACCTTTTTTTTTTTTTTTTTTTTTTTTTTTTTTTTTAGGTATTAGCCCGCCCGCACACAGGTCACTGACCCACATCAGGGCCTGGGGGGCGAAAACGTAATAATAATAATAATAATAATTAATAATAATAATAATAATAATAATAATAATAATAATAATAATAATAATAATAATTCAGATACCCGGTAAGTAAAATTTATAATAAAAAATACAAAAATAAAAATAAAATAATAATGATAACAATAATAATACTGAAAACACTGCAATAATAATAATAATAATAATAATAATAATAATAATAATAATATGGAACCATAAAGAAATTAAAAAAAAAGATCATTAGTGAGAAACGATATAGGTATGTTGTGTTGTCAATAGCAAGAGAAACAATCGAGACCCCGTAATTGTGTGTAAATGAGGCAGAAAGTCAGATCAGCAACCTGGGACTTGGTCACAATTTTTGCAATGCCATATGGCAGCAGGGTCTACCATTAGACAACACATTATATGCTTCCAATACCTTCCCAGGTGGTAGTACGTACCTCCCTGTTTGGTAGCTGCCTACTACTAAATAATACAAAACCCAACATAACATAACCTATTGCCTTGTTAGATATAGAGTTATCCTTCTTTGTTTAAGTCCATTCTCCCTGGTAAAATTGGACAAAATACTTTCTTTACTTATATGAAAAATCTGATAATTTGATATCAAACATACCATCGAAAAATATACCAGGTACGCACCAATTTCTCATAGATCACTCATTAGTATGACCACAAAGGAAGTTCTATGAAAATTATTTAGAAATTTGTTCTTATGTATTTTCTAACATTTTATAAACAAAAAAATCGTGTGGCTCTTACAGGCCAAATCGAGTGTTACCTCTTACATCCTGAGGGTGAGGCTTGATGATGGACACACACCGGCCATCACGGAGGTCAGACTCCAGGTCTTCAAGCCTGGCCAAGGAGGTACAAGAGGCCATGGAGGTACAAGAGGCCATGGAGGTACAAGAGACCAGTCGGGCATCAGGGGCATTGGAGTTCCTGGAAACTTTGGAGTTCCCACTAACTTTGGTGGTTATGGAGGCTTTAGAGGACAGAATGTCCCTCCTCCTATCCCTTTAGGATCAAAACGTAAGTAGCAATTGGAAAGGAGAGAAATATTAGGAACGAAGAAAATAGATTTCTCTGTGTACTTCAGTACACTAAATGATATTGTCAGTGGTTTTTACTTAAGGGTTTGTTGAAGGGGAGAATCTTACTTTAGGTAGACAAATTAGAGGTCAAGATAGGTGACAACCTAAAGCAAAGATTTTTCAGAAAACCCTTTTATACAGGCAAACTAAGGAACAAAATCTGTGATTATGTTACATTTTTCACTTTTTTCTCAGTGTTCCCTTACTTCCTGGAGAGTAATTACATAAGAATTTACTTACATTTAACTTTTAAACTAAGTTTCTTAAACATTCATTTTAAATGAAATAGCATCATATCCTTTTCAGCTGTTCCCTTCCTGTTGGTGAAGAACAAAATATGGATAGTTCACAGTGATACTCCAAAAGGAACTCTGGTTAACACTGTGGAGGTACTTGACCTGTCTGGGGATGGCTTCACAATCATCTTAGAACAAGACCAGGATCTTCTGAAAGTAAACAGTCACTCAGGCCAGGTTACGGTCGCCACCTCTCTTTCCCAACAGGTACTCAGAGTTTTTATAAAAAGAAAATCAAATATGTGATCCAAAGCAATGTTGTCAATATTTCTATTAAGAATTTGTGAATATGAAGGAAAAAGTAAAACATACAAGTTTTGTACTGTATTGAATTTGTTTTGTAAATCATATCTAACCTTTGGAAATAAAACCCACATTAAAAGTGATAAACTTGAATACAGGTACTGTATATTAAAACAATAGTTTTGTATATATGTACTGTAGATATGTAGGACAGCACCAGGAGTGAGGTATAATGTACACTGAAGATGCTGTTGACCCAACCATAGTGTGGTAACATAATAAGCTAAACAGGAGTTACTGTCCAATTTGTCTTCAGTAAAATTCCCTTAAGTCAGACTACATAGGCATTAAGCCAGTCCGACTTAACCAAAAGTCCAACTTAAAGATAATATCCTCTATTGGTGTTGTTTAAAAACTTACCAAAACCCTAAAGAATGAAATGTATATATTTTACTCAAAAAAAAAAAAAAACTGCACACTCAAGGGCACTTACTGTTTCTTATATGATTGCTGGAACCTTTGTGGGTGGAGAGAGGTACTGCACTATGGCTGATCTGACATGCGTATTAGTAAAGTTCTACATAGAGGTTGACTGAGATGGTTTTGTCATATGGAGAAAGATGATAAGATCAATTGGGTCATGAAATGCATTAGCCTAATTGTTGAGGTGGAGAGCCGCCAAGAATGATATGGGGAGAGGTTATAAGAAATGACATTAGAGTTAGGAACCCGACAACAGAGATTGCAGCATGAAGAGCTACCAATCAGGTAATCACAGCTAACCCATGCAACTGTGGAAAATGGCTGAAAAATTGCTGATGATGATGACGTGTACTCTGAGTATGTTAGACTGGAGTTATGCTCTCTTTTTAAGTTTTTCTTGAAGATCATGTTTAACTGTTTGGTAGGGCCTATATTTCCACTGGGCGATTTTTGCAGTGATACTGTACTGTACTTAACTGAGTTTGTGAGCTACATCTTTTTTCTTATACAGGTTGGGAACTACAGTCTGACAGTAAAAGCTAGAAATGATAATGGAGAAGCCTCAGAACCAGTATTTCTTATGGTGTTGCCTGCCTTGTCACCACCCTACAGCCCTACACCAGGTACCAAAAATCACCAGGACCTGATAGTTGTTGGGGGTAGTCCAGGTGTGATTGGTAAGACTAAGTTGCCAGCAGGACTATCCACAGAATCACCCATTGAAGTGCCCAGCCAAGATGTAAGCTTGACTGTTATCCCCATTGTGGTAGTGGTGGGTTTGTCTTCACTAATCATGGCTGTGTATTGTTACTGGCGTAGACAACGCAGGAAGGCCCTTGCACAGTCCAAGGTGTGTATAAAACACTTTTATTAAATTATATAAATAATAAATTGTTTTTTAAATCAAATACTGAATTAAATATTATATCATTAAGACATACATCTGACCCATACACTCATAACCATTCAACTTTCAGGAAAGTGCTGTAATGTATAACGACAAGGGTGTGGAAGCAGCAGCCACAGAAATTCCACCAGTAGAACTTGGAGAGCGCCCTAACATGAATGGGGAGAGGGGCAACAGTATACTGGGATTGGCAGCCCTGTGGCAAAGGAGGGCACGCAGCAACAAGTATGAGAACAGCATCAGAGGAGGCAGAGGGGTCAGTCCTAACATATGCCTCATTTCATGTTTCCTTCAGTACAGTATAGATATTTTTTCTGTCAATCTCTTTGAGAAATGATTCGACAATTTTATGGTATATTAAAATGAATACCTCTCACTTAAGTTTCCGATTAAATGAGTTATTTATGAAAGATTTTAAAGTATTTACTAAAATTAATTAATCCAACAGAAAAGAAAAGGGAGTGAGATCTCAACAGCCACAACTGATGTCTGGGAGTTTCCTCGTCACCACCTGAAGATAATGGGAATCCTAGGAGAAGGATGCTTTGGTCAGGTAACTTTTTATCATCTCAAGTATGACAAACTTATTGAGATTACTCTTAACACTGTACAGAATAAATGAGAGCAGAAAAATGTCTAAAGAAAGAATTATTTTTTTAGGAATTGTACAGAATGTCAGAAGGAACAGTAAGTGATTTTCAGCATAAGATGGTTTTCAACAAAGATAATTTTTATTTTTCATTTGTATAACAGCTAAAAAGCAGTAAATCCTTGATCCAATATGATGTGAATGCATTTAGGGTGGCCTTGTTAACTTATGATTATACAGAAAAGTTTTCTGAACCCTCATGATTGATGGTCAAAATGAAAAGTTAGTTGCTTACAGTTACACAAACTGAGGTTGATAAGAACTAGAATTTATTTTGATTAAGTAAGGGAGGAGTGTTAGAGTTACATGTGTCCAACACTGGCATCAGCTCTAGAGCAATCTTTCCAAACTTTTCCAAAAGCAATGTTTTTCTCATAGCTGCTTCGGTTTTTACTGTTGACTTTTCAGTAATAATACTCCTGGACTTGTTTTTAATCTTTTAAGTATAGGAATGCAGTATCTCTACAGTATATAGTACAAGGTACTATACGTCTCTGAGCTTTGGTTTTTGATAAATCATCAATTTTTGCTAAATAACCCTTAATGTAAAATATGGCATCACAGAACTTGAAAGTATTGCAGCAGCAACAGATGTTATTTTTCCTAAATAATAATAAGTTCACCTGTAAAGCCCCTCCCATTCAAAAATCCCTTCACTCCTTTCATCTGAAGTCCCTTCCCCTCCTCCCTCCCAAAACTTTCCTCTACCCCAAACCCCACTTCCTTCCGAGTCCTCTTCCACCTACATACATCCTCTTAAAATTTTTCTTCACTGCTGCAGGTGTGGAAGTGTGAAGCTTCAGGACTGAAGGGTGAGAGCTCCATGTTGGTAGCGGTGAAGACACTAAAGGAGTCAGCGGGGGAAAGGGAGAGACGAGACCTTATACAGGAACTTAAAGTCCTCAAGAATCTTGGTCGGCACACTAATGTTGTGTCACTCTTAGGATGCTGCACTGAAAAAGGTAAGTATTTAGCAAAAGCAATGAAATATACATAGATAGCTCCCAGGTTTTTAAAAAGGGTGGTCTTAAAAATGTTTCTTTCTGTTATGTTATTTCTTGCAGTTATGTAATTGACAATTGGCATCATGCTACAGCATTGAGAAAAGCAGATACAGGGAGGAGAGAGAGGTAGAATTATAAATGACACAAATCAAAGCTAGATCTAACTAACCTTTAACCCCTACTTCTTCAGACCCAATCTTCGTGATCCTCGAGTACATGTTGGGAGGGAAGTTGCAGAGTTACTTGCGGGCCTCACGGGCAGACACAGCGTACAACAACCTCCACGGTTCTTCCTCCTCTCTCACGCCCAGGGACCTCACACTTTTCACCTACCAGATTGCCCGAGGCATGGAGTTCCTTGCTCGCAATGGGGTATGTCCATCAGTCTTATATGTGTTTTTGTTTAAAGAAAGCAAATTTTGAATTATGATCAATTGCATATGACTCTACCAATGGAATGGACTCATGATTTATGGTGGGTTTTGAGGCTGTAGACTACATGAATAAGGTGAACAAAACACTCCAGTTACTAAGAATCAATAAATTTATATGAAGATATATACAGTACAAGGGGTCCCCGGGTTATGAACGGGTTCCATTCCTGAGGACATTCTTAAGTCGGATTTGTACGTAAGTCAGAACACATGCTATATGCATACCATACTTACAGAACAATGTTTAAATTCCCACTATATCAAAGCCTAAGTCCTTATATATGGTACATTTAAAATCACTTAAGACAAAAAGAAAGAATGACAAAATGCAGTAAATGAAAGTAAAAAATAAGTCATTGGGTAAATAAAATACTATAAATTTTGTATTTGCGAACATTCGTAAGTCGGACGTTCAATGAGAGTCAAAGTTATATATCTGGTGGGTTTGTTTTGAATAAAATAGTTTAGACAGCACACTGTACAGTATAATACATTTTTAATACAAACATGTAGGAGGTGAGTGAACATTAATTATGCTCAGTGAGAATGTGGTGGTGGCGTCAAATTGAGGACCGAGATGATTAAGAAGGTGCAGTTACAAAATCAATTGCTTTTTACATCATGGTTAAATAATGTTAGTACTTTAGTACTGTACAGTACTGTATAAATAATATTGATAAAAGATACGTTAATATGAATAAAGTTATATTAATGTGGATAATGTATTATTAATATAGATAAATATATTATAATATATTGGAATATTATAATATGTTTCAGATAATAACAATCAAGTCTACATGAGGAAGAGTGATGGCAGATTACCCATCAGGTGAGACAGGGATGAAGGGATATTTGTTCATGAGAATGGGTGGAATGGAGATATGCCCATAAAAATGGAATAGGGAGCGTGTAACATACATTATTAGCATAAGAAATTTAAGAGCACAGAATGATTTGATTTTATTGTATTTAATTTGCCACATATTACATGAGAATAAATGAGGAGAAACTGGAAATTCAAGCAACTGCCTGATTGGCTGTGCTAATGGAGATGAGTCTGATTGTTCACAGTGTAGAGTTAGGTACACTGTGGTGTTTATAAGAGATTGATAACACTTTGTAAGCTTATTTGTAGACTTAATAACTATAGTTTTAGAGAATAATAAAGTAAGTTACTGAAATAACTAAAACCATTGGAAATAAAAATTAAATCCATTATTTTAGCATATTTTCATTATTACTTGGGAAAAAATTGAAAATTGCAATTAAATGCCAGGTAGTGACGTGTCCTCCTAATAATATGTATTTAAGTAATTCTTAGATGTTTTAATTGCCTGTATGTTGGCCTGGCGAGTTAATGCTAGGCATTTACATACCTAGGTATAAAGCTAGACGTCGCATTCTGGATTGAACAAAAACGGCTTTTTCTTTCATAAAATGAATCACAAGACAAAATTCATTTGTTCATAACTTCGAATTTTTTTAAAATTGGAAACTACTTGTATATAAATTGATGAGGAAGGTTCCTTTAATATCTTCTCTCTTAAATCCACTTTGTATATCTTTTTCAGATGGATGCCACCCGAGTCACTCTTTGACAATATCTTCACCACCAAGTCTGATGTGTGGAGCTTTGGTGTCCTACTGTGGGAAGTCGTTACTTTGGTGGTACTGAAAGTTTATGACACAGTAATTCCAATGAGAAAGCTTCCAGCCATTTCGTTGTCTATTAATAATCCTTAGTAACACAATATTTTTAGGAGAGACTTATCATTTTACCCATGATGGTAATGATTTGTTATTACAGTATGTTTATTATTCTTACTTTTGTCATTTTCTACAGGAAGGGTTGCACCAATGTTGTTCCATAACTTCCTGACAGTAAATCATTTAAAATGGCTGCAATCTTTAGTAGTTGCTAGTTGTCATTTTTAGTTGCAAAACATGTGGGTATTTCGGGTCAGATGGGGATGGAATGAATGTTTTCCAAATTATTCGTAACATCCAGAACCTAATCAGTCTGTTTAATAGTAACTGTATCTAACCAGTTACTTTTGATGGCAGGTTCAACACCATATCCAGGGCTGGGAGCAATAGAAGTAATGGGGAAGGTGAAAGAAGGTTATCGTATGGAGAAGCCCGACCATTGCCGCAGGGAGGTGTGTACCAAAAGTTGTTTATAAAATACTGTACTACAGTCCATTTTCAATTGTATTAAAAGTATACTTACTGCCTCAAACAATTCAAAATATACAGTACTTACTGCCTACAACAACATGTGACACAAGCCTCCACCAGAATTCACCAACCATTTCCGTTTTCAGCCTCTTCAGTAATTACATTCCAGGTGTTTCTTGCCTCTTTCTTCATTGTTCTTAGCCAGGTTGGGCATGGCCTGCCTCTTCTCCTGGTTCCCATCTTACAGCCTTCTTGACAATTCTTTCATTTTCCATATGAAGCACATGATCCATCCATCTCCATTGAACTTTCATTAAGGTTTCATCTATGTAAAGTAATTTCTCTAATATTATTCCTTATCTGGTCTTGCCATTTAACTCCAAGAATTCTCCTGAGGGTGTTATTTTCAATCACACAGAACCATCTCGAGATAGTCTCATTGTCATTGAATTTTCGTGTGTATGGATGGCCTATGAGACTTCCTGAGTTAGCATACCCATTGTTTGGTTTGCCTTTTGCAACCTCTATGAGAATTCTATATCTAAAGATCCTGTATTGAATAAAATTTTTCAAAGATATTGAAACTTTTCAGTAATCTTGGTCATGTGCCTATTCAGAAGATGCCTCAGGTGAATTTGTTTATACGGTATTTAATCCAACCAGCCTTTATGCTAGTTCCCGCATATTCGGAAGATTCTTGCTCACGAGTACAGTCAACCCTCACTTTACGCGGTTAATACAACCCACAGGATACCGCGGAAAGTGAGAAACGCGTACAGTGAACCACATAACATTTGGGATTAATTGAAATAGAGACCGGGCCGACCCCCCAAACTCCACTTTTTGAAGACACACAACTATGTTGTAGTAAAAATTTTATCTTAACTTTATGATGGTATGCACACACAATTAATATAGATGAGGTTAGGTTAGGAAAAATTAAGGTTAAGTTAGGAAAAATAAAGGTTAGGTTAGGAAAACTAAAAGTTAGGTTTAACACTTACGTTAGTAGAAAAGATGGGTCGGCATACGGGGATGGAGGCTGGTTCCGAGGCAGAGGGCAGGCTACTGGCCCTCAGGTGAGTCACCATCACTGTCATCCACACTTGTCAGGGCCTCCCAGACAAATCCCTCAAAGTCATCTTCACTGTCTCTACCTCTGTCACTATCACTGGCTTGGGCTGGCTGTGGTGGGTTGTGGGCGAAGAACTCTCTTATGCCTTGCTGACGGCTGGTGTTCATGTTGTCGTGATAAACCTTGAAGTAGGGCTCCATAGTCTGCAACAGCTGGGTAGTAAAGATTTCATACCTGTTTGCGTCAGGGTCGTCGGAAAGGAGGAGCTTGACTTTCTCGATATACTCGATGGCACCCCTAACATTACTATGGGATAAGCGGTGTTCTTCTTGGGATGACGCACCACCTGCCTCTTCACTGACGTCATCATCATCTACCATCTCGTCGGTAGTCACATCAGGATCCCTTATCACCTCCAGGATGTCGTCGTTGGTGGTCTCGGAGAAGCCTGCAGCTGTAACACTCTGCGCAGCTTCTCTGGCAAGGTCCACTGCTACTGCAACAGTCTAAACCTCACCAGCCACAGATTGACTCTGCCTAACGGCCGGAATACCTTGCAACACATGTCTCCATGCGTGACGAACAGTTGCTACAGACAGCTGATCCCATGCCTCCACCAAGAAGTCCACAGTTTTCATGATGTTGAATATTCTCCAGAATTGTTTGAAAAGTATTTTTTGCTCTGCCAACTGTTGATCCTCGTCGTCTTCGCTCTTGCTATCGGTGGTGGTGTCACTCAGGTTACGCAACTCTTCCCTGGTGTTGGTGTAGTCGTTCAGGAGCTTGAATTTTTTAGTTGAGAATGCAGCTTTTACATTACAGATTACCTCTTGGTCCATGGGCTGTAATATAGACGTAGTGTTGGGAGGAAGGAAGACCACTTTTACGTTGGGGTGACGATCTAACAGTAGGGGCGAGTGTCCTGGTGCGTTGTCCAGCAGCAACAAAATCTTGAATGGCACATTCTGTTGCTCACAGAATTTCTTCACATCGGGAACGAAACAGTCATCAAACCAGGAGAGGGATAGTGTAGAGAACATCCACGTCTTACGTGCGGTCATCCAGTGGACATTTAGCTTGGTCATGTCCATGCTCTTGTAGGCTTGCGTGCTGTGTGGATCACCGATAACTTGAGCTTACAGGTACCGGAGGCATTGGTGATAAACAGGACGATGATGCGCTCCTGCAACTTCCGGCCCCGAATCTTGCTGGCATTCTTCACAACGAAGGTCTTGGAAGGTAGCTTTTCCAAAAAAGACCACATTCGTCCATGTTAAACACCTGGTCGTCGGTGTACTGTCCTTCCTCCATAATCTCACGTAAAAACGGAGGAAATTCCCTAGCCGCAACACGGTCAGCACTAGCTTCTTCACCACCAATGTTGATATTGGTGATCTTGTTCCTCTTCTTAAACCTCTGTAACCACCCAGAGGAAGCATTAAAGGGTTTGGGCTCTGTAATTCCCATCTTTCGTGACACTGCAGCATACAGTTCACGTGCGTACTCCTTAACTGAGCGCGTGTCCACCGCCATGTTCCGTCGCGCCTGACGCACCAAGTAGCTCACAAGTAATTTTTCCGTCTTGAGAAGCACCTGGTTGTGGAAATACTTGATCATAGAAGCACCTGTAGACTTTGTGATCTTCATGTGCTCCTTTATCTTGGCTGCATCCTTCTTTATCGTCCGGATCGTAGATTCGTTCACACCATGCTGGCGCGCCAAATCAACCTGTCTTGTTCCTTTCTCTAACTCTTGGATGATGTTGTACTTCACCTCGTAGCTTAAGGAACGTCGTGTCTTCTTGGGCTTAGGGCGGCTAGGTCCAAGCAAGGAAAGGTTTCTCTCTGGGGGCGGTGGTCCGGTGGAAGCCATTTTACAGAACAATGGATGCACGATTACACGGTGTGGCCTGGAGGGATGAAACTGCCGCGGCTAGGTCAAGCATCAACTTTCCTCCCTCCCTCCCTCCCCCGGGTGGACACGTCATATTACTTTAAACCAATTACAGCTAGCAGCGGAGGGAGGTAGGGATGCATGGCCAATCACAGTCCGATAGGTCATATGACGTCACTGATAACGCAACAGAGACATGCACTGCGCAACCTTACCGCGCGGCTTGCCCAGGCGGAGGCGGGAGGGGCGAATCTAAAAATAGCGTCGAGCTGGACACTCTCCGCGTTAAGGGGTACACGCACCGCGGAATGTGAGCATCCTGGGTTCCGGCAGGGTACCGCGTAAACGTGGAAACGCGGAATGTGGGACCGCGTAAAGTGAGGGTTGACTGTACAATATTATCTGCATAGTCCAGGTCTGTAAGGTGTTTACCATCAACCCAATCAATTCCTTCATGTTTATATCAAGTAGCCTCCCAACATATACTGTAGTTGATGAAGAGACGAGCATTAATAGAAAGAAAACATTGGCTGGCAATACTCTGCTATCCTCATTGAACTCCAGTGACAACTGGCCAGCCACCCTCATTAACTTGACATCAAAGCATACCTTAGGTATTTTATTCTGGTTAACGCCACACGATTTTATCCAGCTAATGGAACCCCTGCCCGCTAAAGGGCTAGAACTTATCTTGATTATTAATCCTACATACTTCTCAGGTAGTCCATAATAACACACAGTAGGATCCTGCACAATGTAAGGCGGTGCACACTTTCAAGTGCTTTTCCAAAGTCCACCAAATTAATGAGTAAGGTTATAGTATTCTATGGTCCACTTTCAAAAGTGGTGTGTGTGTGTGTGTGTGTACATGCGTGCCTGCATGGGTGTACACTTATGTGCCTCCATGCATGCATACTGTACCTGTATAATGATATTTGTCTAGTTATGCAATGTAAAGAAAATTATTGTAATTATTGCTATAACATAATGATAATTATATCATAGTGTCAAAATCTCCTAAGTTCATTTAAGACTCATTTACTATTGTAACTACAGTACTGTACCAGTAAACTATTCCTAAATTAGGTTAGGTTAGGTAAGGGTAGGTCAATTTAGGGTAGAGTATAAGTGATATTCATTTTAGTTTATGTTATGATCATCTACTTGATCATTCTAGTATACGGACAACTACTGCACTCTACATTGTGTAAAAAGTGTAAATCATAAAATCTATATAAACTATCAAATACTGTATAGTATACTACATAGTACTAATTCACAGGTCTACAACATCATGTACTATTGCTGGGACAAGGACCCTAAGGAGAGGCCTTCTTTTACTGAACTTGTACACACCCTGGAAGGACTTCTGATGTCTGAAGTGGAATACATAGAATTGGATCGCTTCCCAGACCATGCCTACTACAATGTCATCACTGAGAAGAATGATGAAATATTGTAGGGATATGGCAGCCTGCTGTAAATTATGGATTTTTACCTCTGAGCACAGGTATTTAACAAGAAACATGGTTAACTGTTGGAATTGCACAATTCTTTAATCTACGAATGAATGTAAATTATCTGTTATTTTATGGGCATCATATTCAAGACAAATAATTTTGATATTTTACAAATAACACATTTGCACTAAACCACTTTATGAATTCATGCTCCCTGTAAGAATTTCATAAATTTTACAATTGTTCTGACAAAACTCATGATATACACAGACTGTTTATGCTTAATATAGCATTTCTGAGGTAAACATACTGCATAACACAAGCATTGTTTATTCTTACATTTGCAATTGATGGCAGTAAACTTTGCTTGATAATTAGCCATAAAACCTAGATTCCTAAACTGTGCTTGTATAACCTCTTCATGTTAAACTGAGACACATAAACACTCCTATTTTGGTTTCAGTTTAAATTGTATCACCTTATACTGGCACAATACTGTACATACAGTAGTACTCTTTTTTTTTGAAACATCAGTTTCAGTAATTTAGAAAATTAATAAATTGTGTTAACCCAACACTAAGTGTTGTCATGCTAATGACAAAGTATTGGGACCTACACATACAGTAAACTCTTGATAACTTGGAATATACAGTATGGAGCTCTAATCATTCCAAGTAATCAAATTTTCCGAATTATCAAGGCATTTTTCTTCCAGTCTTTCCTCCCACCCCTATACCCAATTTTTGGGCCAAAATAATCTTCTATAATTAGAAAACTTGCACAGAAATTAATGTTTACCAGCACTGCAGGAGAAGGATAATTCAAGCTTGTGGTGCCATGTTGTAGGTGTCAGAGGTGATGGGGGGCTCACTGCATTATACTGTAGTACAGAACAGTAACTGTAGTACAGTACAGTATATCCAGTACAATTCTATATTGTTAGTACTTACAGCACCAACTTTACCAGTGAATGCCTGGAATATGTTCACAGAACCAGTGTGAAACACAGAAGGACGCCTACAGTTACCAGAGTTAGCACTGAGCGAGATTATTTTTCAACTCATAATTTCTGATAGACATACTGTACTGTACTGTACATTTTTTTGTAATACTCTGTTTCATGTGCACACAATCTTTCATACAGAATATGAAAAAATAAATAAATAGTAATAAAATAATTATTATAAGATCAAAAACACAAAGGGAATAAGCATTTCTTGCGTGCACCGAGATATCACACTGAGCGGGGAAAGGGGAGGAGAGGGGAGAGTGGGGTAGAGCTTCCCACGCATCCTGTGGGTCAGATGTGTTATGCAATTCTGAAATTGCATCATCATATCTCGGAATCTTGCGAGTTATGTAAAAAAAATCATTCCAAAATAATTTAGTTAAATATTTTATTGCCATTCCAAGTTATATTGAATTCTGAGTTATCAAGGGTTCACTTTTCAGAATGTTAATACTGTAGTTATGTAAGTTGATGATAAATTATGTACAGTACTGAAAATAGTGAATATGCTGTATGTAGTCACTTATTTTATAACTATTTAATTACTAAGTTCCTCTAAGATATATTACTCTCATAACAGGTTGAGCAATATAGTCACATCAGATGATAATGAATTTTTAGTATATCTTGATTCTTGAACTACTGTACAGTACAGTATAGAATATTTATTCTAAACATACATCTATAATTTTAATACCCTGTACAGTACACTTTTCTTGTACTATTTAGTGAAAGCCCTTACAGATAATGGTACAGTACTGTAATAGTATCATGATCTGTCATTTATTAAGCCAAAATCATTGTACTGTACAAGTATACTGCTTCTGTACTACCTATGGGTCTGTTAAGGTCTTTTTTGCAGTATACAAAATTTTGAAGATATTTAATGAGTACTAATGACCAAACCCTATTGTTGGATAGCCCTGTACTGTAGTCTTAATAGTATTGAAGTCAAAGTGGATTCCCCTATGTGACCCACTGTAACTGTGCCTGGCTGTTACCACTGGTTTATTGAGCTAAATTCTCAGATCATTATTTGACCATAATCTTAAATGAATAAATTCTTAACGTGGACCTCACTTCAGTACTAACAACATAAGAACAGAGGAAACTGCAGAGGGCCTATTGGCCCATACTAATCAGCCCCATTTATACAAGACCGCCCCATATTGTTCACAGCGACATCCAACACATTAAGCATTCCCCATAAAAAATAGGAGAATCCACTCGATGTTATCCTAATTTCTTCTAATAAATCTTGTTGTCTAGGTACTGTACAGAACAGTACTGTATATTATTTCCTTTAAGATGCCTTTAATCATATTGTGTCTTACTATATGCTATATACTGTACTGTAGTACTGTATTGTTCTTTTAGGTGCAGGGAAGGGCTGAGAGGTAAGAGCCTCCTGCTTGAGGTTTTGGAAATCTGTGGCCAACAACATTAGGACTACGTATGCATAAAGAGCAAATATTTGTTTTTTAGAAAATAATCTACCGTATCAAAATTTACATGTCTATACATCTTTATTCACATTTGAGGTAAGAAAATGTTGGACTCAGCATCATTTACAGTTTCCTACTTAACCATAAATATTAATATGGCAAGGAGCTACAGCCCCAGCCATTTCTCTGCTCCCACCTGCCACTTCTACCAACCCTCCAGGCAAGATCCTGGGTACACCACTGTTATCTCCTGTTGTTACTGTTATTAGATGCCATATGTAAAGTTGTACTGAATTAGAAAGTTGCTAGACATCCATTTTGTTGTTCTCTTTTTCTGAATCCCCTGTTCTTATATGTCCTCCTCCTTATCTATTTATGCCAGATATATCTTTGTTTTGTTTTCTTACTCAAGGCTTTATGTTGTGTCCCCACTAGATATCGCTGGCGATATTGTTTGCTCACTCTTAGATACCTTCAAACGTAGTTATTTCATTCTACAAAAATCTGCAACCTTAATAAACTTAAGTTGTGGATTTAAGATATTTAACCTTGTACATCAGTCAGTACAGTATTACCTCTCTATACCAAAATAATTGGTGATCTGCCAGTTCGGTATTGGGGATTTTTCGGTATGAAAAGAAACCAAAAATCTCATCCAATACCAAACATTGCTCAGTATACTTACTACATGGTACAGGAAAAGGTTTGGAAATTTTCCATTCAGTCCAGCCAGCAACCTGCCTTTCCTACCATCTTTCACACACAAAATTAACTTTACATTACTCATTTTTCTTATTTTATAATTTTATATTTTATTTTATTTATTTCTAAGTCACATTAGAGCTTTGCATTATAGTACAGTACTGCATTATTTTTTAATATTTGAGGAGGGTTCGGTAGAGGGTTCACCATACAGTATACAATGAATTCATTCGGAATAGAGGTGTTGTACTGTACTGAAATCTTATGGATTGATTCGGTATAGAGATAATACTGTACTGATTAACCTACTCATTATTAGATTCTCTTGGAAATTTTCTCTATTATCATTTTGTTTCAGTTTATCCCACCCATACTGCATCTCAGGAGCCTCTTAGCATGTGTATTATTCCTGTTTATGATACTTGTTGATGGTCATTGTTGACCTTATACATTTTATACCCATATTTAAGCAATGTAAGCACTATACTATATCATGTTGTAGTGTAATGACATCCTATCAAGTGGTAGATACAAATTCTAGTGCAATAAAGAATCATATAAAATATAATTACAAACATTAAAACAAGAGAATGGGCATCTCATTATTACTACCTTTTTTTTAATACAATTCTATGTTGTTCATTCACTGGCTTCACAATCGTGCGAGTGTAATTTATTTTAATAAATATATCACAGAAAATGCTTTGTAGAAATTGCGAATATATTCTTCCTTGCAATTTTCAATAAATATTCTATGATTCTAATTATGGTACAAGTACAGTATGTGAATACATGTTGCCGATTTAGATTCTTATTTTCTGCTGTTTTTCTGACTGCATTAAAAATCCTGATAAAAACAATGAGCAATATTAACTAAATAGGCCAGTTTTCAAGATGGCATAGGACTGCTTTCATGCAAAGTGTATGCCACTCACGTGTTATGAGCATGATGTAAGAAAACTTTCAAAGTATTGATAGTACAGCACACTAGTGACTTTGAGAAGGGTGTTATCCAGTGTGACCCTACTAAACATTGCTGCTAAATTCATGGGATACAGTACTAACCTAATTCAACAAACTTAACACAAGTTGGTAGGGGTAATTATTTGTTTTAGTTATACAGCAAGTCAGTCAGTGCTTTAACTTGTTACATACAGTATATGCCAGACCAAAACTGAACAATGGTCAGTGTTCCATTTCTACTAGCCTAAGGGAACAATAATTACCCATTATTTACTTATTTGGGAGAATACTTGGCAATTCCTCTGCAACTACATTTGAACTCCCACCATTTTGACTCGAAGACGAAAAACAATTGACGATCAATGTACTGTACAGTATATAAGTAGAAAACTGGCTCATTCCATGAAAAATAGAGTAACTCTTCTCAGTTACTAGTACTGTACTGTATTGAAAGTGGTGATGATAAAAAGATTACTGTAATATATCCACAAACTTTCAGAGATACATCAAAAGTCATAGGTATATTGTGCTTCAACAGCTGATTATGAATCCAGGAATGAACATGAAGAATGACAAAATTCCAATGTGATGTCAATTCTCAAAACCTTTACCTAAAACTACAAACTATATACAGTCAACCCTCGCTTTACGCGGTCCCACATTCCGCGTTTCCACGTTTACGCGGTACCCTGCCGAAACCGGAATGCTCACATTCCGCGGTGCATGTACCCCTTTACGCGGAGAGCGGCTGGCGGTCATCTCGCGCCTCGCCATTTTTGGATCCAAACCTCCTGCCATCTCTCCCGCCCTCTCCCGCCATGTTGTGTAAGCGGCGCAAGTAGGTTGCGCAGTGTGTGTGTCTTTGTTGCGTTATCAGTGACGTCATATGACGTATCGGACTGTAATTGGGCCATGCATCCTTACCTCCCTCCGCTGCTAGCTGTGATTGGTTTAAAGTAATATGACGTGTCCACCCGCGGGAGGGAGGGAGGGAGGAAAGATGACGCTTGACCTAGCCGCGGCAGTTTCATCCCTCCAGGCCACACCGTGTAATCGTGCATCCATTGTTCTGTAAAATGGCTTACGCCGAACCACCGCCCCCAGAGAGAAACCTTTCCTTACCTGGACCCAGCTGCCCTAAGCCAAAGAAGACACGACGTTCCTTAAGCTACGAAATTAAGTATAAGATCATACAAGAGTTGGAGAAAGGAACAAGACAGGTTGATCTCGCGCGCCAGCATGGTGTTAATGAGTCTACGATCAGGACAATTAAGAAGGATGCAGCCAAGATAAAGGAGCACATGAACATCACAAAGTCTATGATCAAGTATTTCCACAACCAGGTGCTGCTCAAGACGGAAAAATTACTTGTGAGCTACTTGGTGCGTCAGGCGCGACGGAACATGACGGTGGACATGCGCTCTGTTAAGGAGTACGCACGTGAACTGTATGCTGCAGTGTCACGAAAGATGGGAATTACAGAGCCCAAACCCTTTAATGCTTCCTCTGGGTGGTTACAGAGGTTTAAGAAGAGGAACAAGATCACCAATATCAACATTGGTGGTGAATAAGCTAGTGTTGACCGTGTTGCGGCTAGGGAATTTCCTCCGTTTTTACGTGAGATTATGGAGGAAGGACAGTACACCGACGACCAGGTGTTTAACATGGACGAATCTGGTCTTTTTTGGAAAAAGCTACCTTCCAAGACCTTCGTTGTGAAGAATGCCAGCAAGATTCGGGGCCGGAAGTTGCAGAAGGAGCGCATCACCGTCCTGTTTACCACCAATGCCTCCGGTACCTATAAGCTCAAGTTATCGGTGATCCACACAGCACGCAAGCCGCACGCCTACAAGAGCATGGACATGACCAAGCTAAAAGTCCACTGGCTGACCGCACATAAGGCGTGGATGTTCTCTACACTGTCCCTCTACTGGTTTGATGACTGTTTCGTTCCCAATGTGAAGAAATTCTGTGAGCAACAGAATGTGCCATTCAAGATTTTGTTGCTGCTGGACAACGCACCAGGACACTCGCCCCTACTATTAGATCGTCACCCCAACGTAAAAGTGGTCTTCCTTCCTCCCAACACTACGTCTATATAACAGCCCATGGACCAAGAGTTAATCTGTAATGTAAAAGATGCATTCTCTACTAAAAAATTCAAGCTCCTGAACGACTACACCAACACCAGGGAAGAGTTGCATAACCTGAGTGACACCACCACCGATAGCAAGAGCGAAGACGACGAGGATCAACAGTTGGCAGAGCAACAAGTACTTTTAAAACAATTCTGGAGAATATTCAACATCAAGAAAGCTGTGGACTTCTTGGTGGAGGCATGGGATCAGCTGTCTGTAGCAACTGTTCGTCACGCATGGAGACATGTGTTGCAAGGTATTCCGGCCGTTAGGCAGAGTCAATCTGTGACTGGTGAGGTTCAGACTGTTGCAGTAGCAGTGGACCTTGCCAGAGAAGCTGCGCAGAGTGTTACAGCTGCAGGCTTCTCCGAGACCACCAACGACGACATCCTGGAGGTGATAAGGGATCCTGATGTGACTACCGACGAGATGGTAGATGATGATGACGTCAGTGAAGAGGCAGGTGGTGCGTCATCCCAAGAAGAACACCGCTTATCCCATAGTAATGTTAGGGGTGCCATCGAGTGTATCGAGAAAGTCAAGCTCCTCCTTTCCGACGACCCTATATCAAGGTTTATCACGACAACATAAACACCAGCCGTCAGCAAAGCATAACAGAGTTCTTCGCCCGCAACCCACCACAGCCAGCCCAAGCCAGTGATAGTGACAGAGGTAGAGACAGTGAAGATGACTTTGAGGGATTTGTCAGGGAGGCCCTGACAAGTGTGGATGACAGTGATGGTGACTCACCTGAGGGCCAGTAGCCTGCCCTCTGCCTCGGAACCAGCCTCCATTCCCGTACGCCGACCCATCTCTTCTACTAACGTAAGTGTTAACCCCAACCTTGTTTATTTCTAACCTAACCTTCAGTTTATTGACTGTTCCTTTCAATATTATGTATTTGTGAATACCATCATAAAGTTAAGATGTTATTTTTAGTAAAACATACGTATTGTGTCGGGAAAAAGTGGAGTTTGGGGGTCGGCCCGGTCGCTATTTCAATTAATCCCATATGTTATGTTGTTCACTTTACGCGTTTCTCACTTTACGCGGGCCGCCGTGGGTTGAATTAACCGCGTAAAGTGAGGGTTGACTGTACTGTATTGTATTATATATGCTGTACAATATCTTGATAATTTTTTTCTTAATTAAAATTTCAAGATCATTTAAGTTTTTCAGTTTACAATTATTGTAATATGTACATTATAAAATTAATGATATGATACTAGAAACTATTATGGTACAGTATAGTGTCTGCAGTTTGTACTGAAAAGTGAAATAAATTCGGTAACACCAACATCAAGGTATAAACATTTATATATTATGAACAATGAAGGGATCCCTCACTGTGACCAACTCTTGTTTGGGAGGCCATTAGATATATACAGTACTGTAAAATATATATGTTTATTGCGTGGGTCAGTCTTTTATACAGTATATTAGTCAGTTGTATTTATTTAATAATGTATACTTTATGGCAATGTTTTGTGAACCCTAAAATATAAATGTTTTTTATTCTGTAAGTTATTGTACATGACTTCCATTTTTGTATATCACACACTTTACATTGTAAAAAAAAGCAACATACGGTTCTATAGCATGATTTTTATAATAAATATTTAAATTATATTATTAGCATTGTCCTTGAAATATCTATATTAGTTAAAAAATATTATATTTTTTGTGTACATACAGTAATGTTTATCATATAAAGATTTAATTCCAAAGATGTAATTGTGTATTTTTTCATTTAGATATCCTTTGGAAGAGAATGAAATAGAAATCTGTATTGTAAATTAAGTGGCTGATTTTTCATACACTTAAACTATAGTCAATAAAATCACTAACTCTACAGGCATCCCTTACTGTCTGAATGGGTAAGGTTCCTCGAAAACTATTCGGATATCAAATATTCTTACTTATACTTTTTACTTTTATCCTCTTCACTGATCGGCTCGTAAGCCGCTTGGGCGATCGGTCATGTCTCTGATTACTTTTCCTTTTTTTTTATCCTCTTCACCAAAAGATCGGCTCGTTAGCCGCTTGGGCGATCTGTCATGTCTCTGTTATACACTGTTGGCAAGTACTGGGCATGCACTGGCTCCTGAATGTACCTGAACCCACTCCAGTGTTGGTCAAGTCTTGTCTTGAGAGAGCTCACACTCGGTGCCGTCATAACACTTTCTGATAGATTGCTCCAAGAGTTCACAACCCTCACTCCGAAAAAGTTTGCCCTCACAGTTTTCTGGACATGCAGCTTCTTCAATCTTGAGCTGTGACCCCTTGTGGGGCGAGTGTCCGCCAGCTCCAAGTAAGGAAACTCGACTGAGTAGTGCCCCCTGAGATGCTTACGCACCTTAATTAGATCACCACTTGCCCGTCTGTAGTATAAGCTAGGCAAGTTCAGGCGCTCCAATCTCTCAGGGTAGTTGAGGTGCCGAAGTGCAGGCACCAGTTTGGTGGCCCGCCTTTGAACATTTTCAACCAACTGACAGTCCCTAGCATATCTCGGGGACCAGATGGGGTGACAGTACTCCAGATGGGTTAAGCACTTCACTCTTGAAGATCATTACGAGGGACGGACCGTCTAGATATCTGAACAACCTTCTTATAAGGCCCCATAATTTATTTGCCTGATTTACCTTCTTCTCGCAATGGCCCGAGAATTTCAGCTCATTGTCAACATACACACCGAGGTCCTTCTCACATTGTCTCAAATAGTGCCGTTTCTTCATCCCGTTGGGACATATGATACGCCTCCTTATCGTTGGTACGCCCCAGGTGCATCCTCTTACACTTCGTGACATGGAATCTCAGCAGCCATTTCTTCGACCATTCTTGGAGCCCACAGAGGTCCTTCTGCAGCTCTTCACAGTCCGCTTGGTTCTTGATTTCCCGAAATAACTTGGCGTCATCGGCAAACATTTGTATGGAGGAGTGTACAACGTCAGGCATGTCATTTATGAAACAAACAAACAACAGCGGGCCCAATACACTGTCCTGTGGTACCCCACTTGTGACAGGTACGGATGATGATTTCGTGCCATTAATCGCCACACACTGCTTGCGGTCATGTAGAAAGTCTTCTATCCACACAAGGACATTTCCCCGAATTCAGATAGCAAATGCAGTAACATAACACTTCTAGATATAAAACCTAATACAGTACTCTGTTTGCTTTATTTCGAACATTAACGCACTGTTTTCTAGGCCAAAGGTCCGGGCTTACAAGTACCCTTAAGTCTCTTTCACAAGTCGACTTCTCTAGGTTGATGTTGTTAAGATTGTATACTGTACATTGACAGTATTTGTTCTTCCAATATTAAGTATGCTGCACTTGCTGGTGTTGAATTCCATTTGCCATTTTTCTGATCACTCCTGCAGTATATTTAAATCCTACTTTAGTGCATTTGCATCCTGCCCTGAATTAATCTGCCGCCCTATTTTGGTGTCATCTGCAAACTTGCTTATGTCACTGCTGATCCCAGTATCTAGATCGTTTATGTAGATTATGAAAAAGAGTGGGCCCAGTACTGACCCCTGGGGAACCCCACTAGTTACACAGCCCAAATT